AGAAAGCAATAAACGGAGCTCACAGCCATAGCAGGTAGCGTGGCAGCAGGCAATGGGAGCAAGAAGCAGTAGCTGAGGCCTTACAGGTAGCCACAACAGGGGGAGGGAGTAGTGGCAACTGGGAATGGCATGGGACTTTGAAACTGCAAAGCCTATATGCAGTAACACACCTCCTCCAACAAGGGCACACTCCTAAATCCTTCCCAAACACTTCCACTAACTGGTGATCAAGTATTCAATATATGAGCTTAGGGGAGCAATTCTCATTCAAACCACCCCATGGTCCATAAGCAGTTGTTATACTGTATTTCTTGGGAAATAATTACAAGTCCGAATGCATGTAGTATTTCAATACACAATTGGTTGAATCTGTAAAATATAGAACTCATCAATTTGGAGGCCAAGGGTATCTGTAAAACAACTGGCTTCTTGAGAAGTGAGCTCTATCTGAAAAGTGACTTCCAGCAGAACACAAGGGCACAAGGGCTTACTTATCCTTGTAACCCAAGCACTCAGGAGGTTGAGACATGAGGACTGCCATGATTTTAAAGTCAGCCTGTGCTATATAGCCAGTGCCAGTCCAGCCAGAGCAACATATAGCAAGACCTTTCATTAAAAAAAAAAAAAAAAAAAAAAGGTAACTTAGTTCTTTATATCTCCAAGATGTCTACTGGGGTCATGCTGGTTCAACAGCTGATGTCTGAGAAGCATCCGTGACAAATAATTGAGGTGGAGTGTAACCACTAAGAGTAAAAAGAGTTCATAAGATGATAATTTAGGTTGCTAGGATATACTGTCCAAAGGAACCTCTGGGCACATTTGCAATCCCATAATTAAGACTGATAATAGCATCATAAAACAGAGGAATTATCTTCAGAGGACAGCATGTGAGTAAGAAGAGCAAGCCAGCTCTTCAAAGGTAGGCTCAGCACAGTCATGAGAGGCTCCGTCCACGCAGCCTACCCTGCTAAGTGGTCCTTTGAGAGATAGGGCAGCTCGTTTGCGCACGCCACCACATGGATCAAGAGCACAAGGCCGCCTCTGCTGCCTGGCAGCCTCCAGGTCATCCCGCTGCTGTTTTGTTTGCATTATTTAAAAGCTGGGGAAGCTGAAGTTCCCATGAAGACACGTTATGGCCACTAGAATTTCCACTGCAAAGCACTGGTCCTGCCCTATGCTTTTCTCCTGGGTTGTTGCCTTTATTTATATTAGATCACTTAAGTTATTTAAGTACTAAGTATTTAGTATTAAACTTTGTCCATCACATATGGCTCTCCTTATGACTTTATTTTGAATTAGTAAGAGACATAGAGATGTCAGATCGGTTCTGCTGCTTACTAGGCAAGTGGATGCACTTTGGTGTGACAAAATACCTGAAATAATAATAATAAATATAATAATCAATAAAGAGATGAAAGTGCTGGCACTAAAAGTATGCACCACTATTTCCTGCCCCCCCCAAAAAAATGGTGTTGGTAATTAAACCTAGGGTCATATGTGTGCTGGGCAAGCCCTGTGCCACTGATCTACATTCCCAGCCTTCATCTTTGAATTAAGCTTTTAAAGGTCATTTTATTAGTGTTTTGCTTGAATGTATGTGTGCCACATGCCTGGTACCTGAGGAAGTCAGAAGAACTGGAGTTATGAATGGTTGTAAAGCCACCATGTGGGTGCTGAGCCATCTCTCCAACCCCATCATCTTACATTTTGCTAGACATGTGTTGGATCATCTTATTCTATTTTTCACATTTCTCTCTTCTTTGAAAACATTTTGCAAGCAGGGTCGTACCCCTTTAATCTCAGCACTGAGTGTGTGTGGGTGGGGGGGCAGAAGCAGGCAGATTCCTATGAATTTGGGGCCAGCCTGGTCTACAGAGAGGGTTCCAGGACAGCCAGGGTTACACAGAGAACCCCTGCCTAGGAAAACAAAACTTTCTTGAGTTGCGTCTCCTGGCTCACCAGTTCTCTTTCATCTGTCTCTTAGTCTGTCAAATCTGTGCACTGCATTTTACATTTCAGACGCTTTCCTATGTTATTTTGTTTTGTTTCCTATTATTTCAGTTGCTTTCCCTAGAACTTTTATTGGATTCTTTTTAAAACCTGCCTGGTTTTGTTTTGTTTTTCAGTCCTTGACTCATGCTTTTATATCGTCCTTCCTTCCTTTTCTTCTTCTTCTCCCACCCCCACCCCTGGATAGGGTTTCCTTGTGTAGCTTTGGAGGCTGACCTGGAACTAGCTCTTGTAGAGCAGGTTGGTCTCAAACTCAGATCTGCCTGCCTCTGCCTCCCGAGTGCTGGGATTAAAGGGGTGCACCACCACTGCCGGGCTATTTCTTTAAATATATTAAACATTCTAGCATGGTGGTGGTGCACGCCTTTAATCCCAGCACTTGGGAGGCAGAGGCAGGGGGGTCTTTGTGGGTTCGAGACCATCCTGGTCTACAAGAGCTAGTTCCAGGACAGCTTCCAAAGCCACAGAGAAACCTGTCTTGAAAAACAAACAAACAAATAAATAAATAAGGATATTAAACATTCTAATTTTATTATCTATGCCTTATTTCAGTTTCAGAGCCTGTGTGGGTAGATTGTGCTGCTTTTTTTGTCCTCTGTGGATCCTTGTATAATTATCATGTTTCTTTGTATAAATTCTGATTTGATTAAGAGTTCCAATTTTTTGGGAACTTTTTCTGTATAATTTTGTGGGGATCTGGCTAAATTTGGCTTCTCTACAGGTAATTTGGTTTACCTAACTTGGATGGGAATACCATCAAACCAAAATCGGGTTAAAGCAAAATGCTCCGGTTTTTAAGACAAATTTTAATTTAAAATTCAGAGGCAGGTAGGACTGGAGAGTGGCTTAGAGATGGCTCTTCTAGAGGACCAAGTTTGGTTCTTAGGACCCACATCAGGCAGTTTACAATGCCTGTGACTCCAGCTCCAGGGGATCCAGAGTCTCCTTCCAGCTCCCACGTGGCATGCATTCGCACAGGCACACACATACACATGAGTAAGAATAAACTTAAACCTTTACAGAAAATTTAAAGTAAAAAATTATTCTTGTGGGATCTAGTTTTTTATCTTCTCAGAGATGCCTCCACCAGCAGTCTCAAGCATTAGAAAAATGGTATTTTCCTTGTTAACATATATTTTGCTTTTTTTGTAGTTCTTTGTTATAGTTCCATGCTTTTTATTTCTTTAAATATAATAAACGTTATTATTTTATGATCTATGTCACGTTTCAGTTTCAAAGTCTGTGTGGGATATATATATATGCTCTTAAGTGCGGTTATTAAAATGTATACATATGTAAATATATATTCTGTTTCTTAAAGATAATGTCTCAATATGTAACACTGGCTGGCCTGGAACTCACTGTGTAGACCAGGATGGCCTCAGACACACAGAGATCTACCTGCCTGTGCCTCCCAAGAGCTGGGATTAAAAGTATGTGATGTAATACCTAGCTCTTGTTACTTTTTTCAATTTTTGACCATTAAATGTTTTCAAGTAAAAGAACTCACACTCTGATTTATGTATGCTTTTGGAAAGATGACTTGCAAGAGCATTCCACCTGAGTGATTAAGAACATGTACTTAACTGATAGCAGAGATAAAGTCAAATCTATGAGAAAAGAAATATGGTTCACTTTGGCTATGCTGAATTTGAAATACTTACGTTGTGGTTTAATATGTCAATACCCATAAACAATTTATGACTATGGAGGAATTATAATACCTACCTCTGAAATTGTCAACCAGCTAATTCAGTTGTTCCTAAAAACCTGGTGTTAAGGGTGCTGGCTGAAGTAACAATAAGGGCACCATTTATTGAGCAGCTTCGATGTGTCAGCAGCAGTGTTAACCATTTCATAAACTTTACTTCCTGAAGCATCATAACAAACCTTATTAGAGGAGAGCTCGTTATCCATGTTTTACAAGTGAGGAAGCTAAGGCTACAGAGGACGCCTAACTTGCTTAAGGTCAGTCAGTCGGAAGGCGCCGAGCTGAAACTCAAACCCAGGTCTAGTTGCTGCCAACACTATCTCTAAATAATTTTCCATGACACACACGTAAGGAGAAAAGTTCCTTGGAACAGTGGTCATGGCCATCACCAGAGAGATCCTGAAACCAGGATTTCTCCAACACGTGTCCAACCCTGTAAAACGTTAAAATTTCGTCCCAGTGGAGAAATAACCAATGGCTATGTGTCACCAACAGCGTCAGCTTCATGCCAGAGAGATTGTAATTTGAGTATTTTATGAAGAACAAACTAAGACATATTTTTGGTGAGATTGACAAGCAGACATGAATAGAATGGTAATGTAGCTGCTGACGCTGATTCAACTCGACACTGTTTTTCCTGGGACTCAGCGCTCCTGCCGTCAAAAGAAGTTTGCTTTTCCAACAGCTGGAAACGCCAGAATTGTGACACAGCCTCAAGAACTGAGGCTCCTTGTTCAGACTTTCACACGGGACCCTCTGTTCCTTTCACACAGGCCTCTTTCTTTCTCACATCTGCCCCTTGGAAGACTTTCGCAGGGCGGGACTGAGCCTTCAGGGAAAGAGGCACTGGATTGGGGCTCCGGCGTTCAAAGCCTGAACTGGACCCGGCCTGAACTCTGATGTTTATTGTTCCACTTTTCGGCGTCTGAAGGAGAAATTCGAAAACAATAAGCTTCTAGTTGGTGGCCGAGGATCGGAGGGAAGCAAAGGAGGACCAAACTCACAGCCTCGGAGGCGAGCTCGCAGGTCCTTCGGAGGAGGG